ACACACACACACACACACACACACACACACACACACACACACACACACACACAGAATATGTATGAAAACAGTTATTTAATATTTCTGTGGGCTTTGAGACTACAAATGTAAAACCTGCGTAAAAGCTGGAGATGTGGAGTTTGAAAGACACGTTTCCAGGCAGGAAGGATCTAAAGAAAGACACTATCCCATTGCATTATGGGAAATGTACGATCCAGGGGTATTTGTACCCATACTAGGAATTAAAAGTTATGATATCTCTACCTCTGCTGAACAGATCTTGACCATTTATAATAGAAATGGCAGAATCACTGGAGATATATAAAAAACAGATAAAAAACATCATTCAAGGTAAATTTTTATAGTAAAATAGACAAATACTAGACATCGAAGACTCCTGACTGTTCGACAGCAATCGCAGTTTTATTTTTGAAAAACGAATTAGTACAATTGATTTCTTAGAGCAGGTCGAGGCATGTGAATCGTAGGAATGTTTAAACCAATAGGACCTTTTAACCAGCGGGACGGTTGTACCTACCCTGGTGGTCTGGCACTGTGTAGAGAAGAGGACCTTGGCGAAAGGATCTGATAAGCCATTGTCATCGGCAGCAATCAGGCCACGCCCCTGATACATGTGACATCTTAGCTGGAAGTACCTGCTGTCTGCAGAGAGAGAGAGAGAAAGAGAGTAAAGGGCCATCCACATCAACAACAATAACTATAATTCAATCATTATAAAACCTTATATAACTATAAAAACAACAGCAGTGGGGACCGATATTTGATGAATGATAGAAACACTGACAGTCAATCAAAATCTATCAGAACTTAGGGGGCGTGATGTTCAACAAGGCAGACGACATCGTAAAGAAACTCGCCTCCTTATGATCAATAATCAATTAAAAATCTAGGCTGAATTATCCATATATTTCAAGGGCGGCATAGTGGTGCTGTGCATCTGTCAGAACCGTCATGGCGGGCGGATGCTGTTGATTTCAACATTTTACTGCTGATAGAAAATATGTTCCGAGACAATTTTATTAATCCACCCCTCTTGTGTGTGACGAATACAACTTTGTATCCCTGAGTGCAACAGTTCATAAACTAATTAACTTTTTTTTTTCGATTTTACAAACGAAAAAAGTAAAGTCCTTTATGGATGTTGTATCTGCTGTTTCTGACCAAGAAACCAAAACTAAAGAAATTATGATTATTATAGCCTCCTTGTGATTATAATACAAATAGCTAGCATGTACACGTAGTTCATATAAATGTGTAAAAGTAGGCCGTACATGTCTTGTAACCGTAGATTTTTAACTTCTCTAGGGGACAGAAGTGGACAGCTGGATTGTGCTGCTTTGCGCCACCGTTTACAGAACGTTAATCGCTCATCAGCGTGGATACTCCCATCGTTATCGTGAGAGAGGTCTTCCTCCAGCTGACCAGGACAGACTGCTATTGAGTCCAGGTAAAGCTTCATGATCGACAAGTCAAATTAAAACTAATCACTGGGCTTTTATTTTGAAGGAGAAACATTTCTCCACTCATTCTGACAACAGACAGAATGACTCACCCTGGCAGGACAGAGTGACAGGAAGCTTCCTCTTCCCCGCGGTGACCAGCCTCCTCTGCCCCTCCTCCTCTTCCTCATAGACCGGCAGAAACTCTTCCGGCAAGCAGTTGGTGACCTCTTTACTGTACTTGGCCAGACCGAGCCACAGGTAGACCTCAAGCTTCGCGAAGATCTCACTTGCTGAACCTCCTGGCGACTGGATATACAGACAGACAGACAAACAGACAGACGGACAGACGGAGAGACGTTTTCAGAGACAGAGCGGAGAACGTCATCGATGATTTTAGAGATGGACTTCAGCGTTAGGACCGTTACCTTCATGTAGAGGGTGGTGACTTTGCCGCAGTCCCGCCCCCTCTGCTCCTCCACCAATGAAAAGAGGATGGAGTAGGCGGGGATCCTGACGTAAGCCAACCGCTTGCTTCCACTCAGTAACCACAGAAACGCGTCTGGAATGGTGGTCTGGGGCTGGAGATAGGGTGGGGTGTCAGACATACTGAACATACTGCAACCTTTGATGTCTTTGTGGTGAGCTATAGAGACCACTTTATGACCTCTGACCTCTTTCGCCAGTCGGCGGAGTTTCCTCAGGAGTTTCCTGCTATCCATCAACCGCTGTTTGACCATCCGCCTGGTGAGCCTCCGCCTGAACCTCACTGCCTGTCTGGCCAGAAAGACCTGGAGACAGGCGGACATTAAGTCAGAAAGACAGACAGGAAGACAGTGAGACAGACAGGCAGGTACATGGAGGCAGGTGAGAGGAGACTCACCAAATTCTTCTTGATAAACTCCTTCCTGCATTTGTCCAGGTTGTTGGGACGAAACGGAGACTTCCTGTCTACGAAAACATTAAACTGTCTGCAGAGAGACAGACAGGAGGACGGAGAGAGAGACAAACAAGGCAAATCAAATCAAACCAAATCAAACATAATCTATTCTAACAAAAATGATTCAGTAGGAGGAGACTGACTTGCATGCGGCCACCAGCTCCAGCAGCACCTCCACCAAACGCTCCTTCATGTTACTCCTCGGCCTCCTCGAGAGACGTTCTACCTCATCAAGACCGAGCTCCTAAAAGAGGGGAAGGGGAGCAGAAGAGAGGATGAAATGTGACCACAGCTTTTTTAGGCATTGTGTGATAATAAAAAGTAAATTAAAGATCACTCGCCAGCCTGTCGGCCGTCTTGTTGAGCCAGTTCGCCTGATAGAGACGAAAGTTGTGATTTTCAAACTGACTCCAGACAAACAGACAAGGCTTGTCAGAGGGAGGCTGGAGAGGAAGACACTGGAACGACCTGAGAGACAGACAGGTAGACAGGTAGAGAGAAACAGACAGTAGGGCAGACAGACAGCAAGTGGATAGAGTTTGTGGAGTAGTTACTGTAGATCTTACTCCACTAAGAATCGCCACCGTATCATTGTAAATGGTAAATGGACTACATTTATATGTAGTGGCAGTTCACACACATCGATGGCAGCGAGCTACCATGCAAGGTACTGGTCAACCTATTGGGGCAATTGACCCTTCGCTAAGTCCCGTCCTCGAACACGGACTGGCCAATCATAGCGTAGCATCGTCCATCCAACTTTATGGCTGTGCTCCATAGACTCTCATGCAGATTTTGTTTTAGACTTCAGATTTGGGAAAACCCAGAGGTAGCTGGATGATGGGGTTTGGGAGAAGGGTGTCTCTTATTTGATGGAAGGATTGTGTCGTAGATAATTTACGTTTTTAGACGTTTATTAAGTCGTGTGCATGGGTAACAAGTACAAAGGTGTCAAAGACACACAAATCATTTAAACATAACGACATTTAAGTTTTCAGGTTCACTTTAAGTACCATAACAATCTTTCCTTAATTAATATTTCCTCAGTTAGTGTAGCCACAGGAGTTAACCTTGAATGGAGAGGGGACAGAACATATAACTCTGTTCTTGTGATTTGGTGATACGAGAGTTGGGATACACCTTGTTTTATACATGAAAACACTGTATCATACAGCTTTGGCGAGGTTTGCGCCCCCCATGCCCTAACCACATCACAGTTAGTGGTCGTAGGTGCAGTGGTTACATACCTGTCGTACTCGGTGGGCTGGGGTCTGGCGGGAGCAGACAAAGATCTGGACTCGGGTTCGGGACTCAGCACCTCCTCTCTGTCCAGCTCCTCCTCTGACTCCAGCAGGCCCTGCACCTCCTCAGTTAGATCTTCCCTGCTCCTTCTCAGCTCCTCCCTGCTCCTCCTCAGTTCCTCCCTGCTCCGGCTCTTCTTGGATCTCTCAACCTCCACGGCCTTCCCATAATTCCCTGCCAGAAACAAAACAGCTGATGGAGCTCAACGGTTTGATGTTGGAAATGATCTGAACCCCAGGTGGCCAAAAGGGTCCCAAAGCAGGCCCAATGCACTAACTAAAATTGTTTTTGGGGATTTTTTTTATCAGTTATCCCTCGTCCATCCCCCTAAAACTGAGCCAACCTCCAAATGAGCTCCAAATTTAGTCCCCCGGTACCGGAAAAGCATTCTTCATTCACACTCTCTCACAACTACAGTAAGTTTGTTTTTATATTAATTTACAAGTTTTGATTAAATCTCAACAATGTTGTGCTTGAATTTCAATTGCTGCTACAAATAATAATGCCTGCTTGCATTAATACTAGCTATTTTTGTATTAATGCAAGTATGATCCACTTCAAGAACTGTCCTCTTCTCTCCGAACACTTTTATTTATTTTTTTGTCTGTTTTGGGGTTTTTAACCACTTCAGGGTGAAGCTGGGTGAATGTCCTGTTTGACTGTGTTTATGCCAAGTGAAAATCTGCAGCAGATCAGGTCAGTTTATACAAACTGGAAGTATAAGGATGTGCTCTGCACAATAATAAATTATATGTCTCTCAATACCATCCAACCGAAAAGCAGTGAAACAGCCCTTTAACTGTGGAGAATAGCCGTTCCAGCTTTTGAAATTGTGAGAGTTTGCCACTTTCCTTAGTCTTGTGTTATAGTAAAAGTAATATCTTTAGGTGCACTGTTGGTCAAGTTTTTAAAGAAAATTACTTTTGGTTTTGGGAAATCGTGATGGATCAGTATTTTATGACTTCATTTAATAATTGTCCTAGTACAGAAACCCAGGACATAGAATACAATATTTACCTATGGAGAGTTCAAAGGTCAATGGTCTGGTTCCTACAGACGGGTCCATCATAGTGACTTCAAACAGAGACGCAAACAACAGAAAGTCCTCCCGTGGTCCCACGAAACCCTGAGGACGAAAAATAAGAAGAAAATCAGAGAGCTGCAGGATTTCTCTCTCTTTTCTACCTGGAACACCTCCTCTTATGCAACTCTGTCTTGTGGGGTGAAGTCTTGTTCTGCTTCCTCTTGTTTGTCTTGTGTTGTACATCCTTCCACTTGAGCAGGTAATAAGTATTTTTAAAAGTCTATCTTGTCACTGCTATGCAGATGATATTCAATTATACGTTAGGGATGAGAGGTGAAAATGGAAAATGTTTGTTCAAAAAATAATGAGAGAGCTTTGATATACGGTAGTTGCCTTCAGTCCAAAATGGCGGAGGCGTAGCTGATGTTGCAATGGAACGACCGATTAGATTTCACCTCTTATCAATGTAAGTTTCTTTGCCGGCGGCACTGACCTCAGGGAGTGGGTGGATCTCCTCAATCTCCACGGTAACAGCCTCCGGTACCTCAACTCCAGCCTCCCCAGAATCGTCCACCAATGCACTGGCAGATGCAGACGCTACGGCAACAACAAGTAAACAAACCAATGAATGAACTACAAACACAATGTGGAGGTCTCCAACCAAGATGTCCAAAATATGCCTGTGGGGCGACTCATGCGAGTCTGTAATAATACGATCAACACTGACAGTGACTGTTTATGCTCACAGGATTTCGTTACTCTGCACTTCTTTAGTAGCTGAAATATCAGACATCACCAACATTTGTACTGTACTATAGCATCATTTCTTCATTTCAACATCCTGGCTTTGAGACAAATCATTTTAAAAGCAACTGCAGTTGGAATAAAACTCAAACATCTGGAAACTCTGTTCTGAGATCCTTCATCTGAGTCAATAAAGGAGATCTCCCCCTGCTTGTGCAAAGCTAAACTAAACATGTCCTTGTCTCTGTACTGGACCCTCGGAGAAGAAACTGATATCCATCCATGTCCTTGAAGTAAACATTAAACTGGTTCTCCTCTCTGTTTCACCAACGTTCTCAAACGACAACTAAAAACCACGCCCCCTTTAAAGTTGTTCCTCCTGCTTCTCCTCAGTAGACTGACCTTCCTTATTCTTCCCCTTCATGATACTGCTCTTCTTCTTCTTCAGTCCCAGCTTCCCCGGCGCTCCCTTCATCTTCAAAGACACACAATAAAGAGTCGCATAAGAGTCAGTGAGGTCATGTGAGATTCGATGAGGTGATGTGCTGAAATTAGGTGGGTATTATTAAGGTCACATAAATAATGCGACAGGAAAATAGCTGCTGATAAATAGCTGGTTAAAAGACTGCGTTAACATACAATAAGTAGGACGTACCTTTCCTAAGGCGGCAGAGCTTATTTCTGAGGTGACTGCATCAGGCGAGGAGTAGACTTCTACAAAGAGAGCGAGAAGGATCCGACCGCGGTAGAAGATTCCTTCACCCAGACCCTGGTTCAAGGCCTGGAGAAGAGTGAGGGTTAGTCCAGTTCAGTCTGGATCAGTTTTGTTTAGTTTTTTTCTAATACTGTAGATATTCTATGAATAGTAGGTGGCTTGAAAATGGCAGGTCTAAAACCATAGACTGTATAAAGTATGGTTGAGGTCTCAGTGACGTCACCCATTACTTTCCGAAGAGCTGTTGTGAAGCTCAAAGTTGGTAGCTCCTGGCTGTCACCATCTTGGCAGTGACGACACAGCCAAACTCACCCTTTGCTAAATGGGCAAAGAGATGGATCGCCGGTTGGCCTGGTGACGCAGCAAAGGACACAGCTAGCAGCTAGCGCCCTCAATTATGCCTGACTTTAAGCCTTAATATAATATATTAAACGGGTGAGTTATCTAAGAATGTATCCCTCTACAGTTGTCAAAGACAGGGATATTGGCTATAGAGACCAAAACAATTTTATTCCAGGCTGTAAACGTGTTTATTTCTGTTATAAAGTTGGGTATTTTAACATGGGGGTCTATGGGGATTGAGTCCTTTTTGGAGCCAGCCTCAAGAAGCCTTTCAAAGAACTGCTGTTTCTGGCAAATCTGCATTGACTTCATTTCTCAGTGCCATAGGTTGCCGCATGGTTACAACCAATGTTACGGGTGGAGAAAAAGCAAAAACTTTAGATTTGACGTATGGCTCAGCCCACACTGGTGCTGACTCCACAAAAGGTCTATACGTGCCTTTTGTTTTTCCAGCCCACTTTGGATGAAACCCCGCCCACTCCCATATGATGAAAGCCTCGTCGCAGCATCCATTGTGCAGTGATTGAATGGTACTCATTGCCTCGACGCGTTCTTGTGATTGGATGCAATGCGGAATTATAAGTGACAACTTTGTTCGGCTCCTTTTCGGTAAACAGTGTAACTTTACTATCACAGCACGCTCCTTTTCCGTGAACTTGAAGTTAAGCTATCATCACATTGCAAAATCTGGTGAATCAGTGTTATTGACTGATTATCTGACGAGGTATCCTCAGAAAGAAAGCAAACAAGGGAATTTTCCAAATTGTTGAATTATTGTTTTAAATGTTAGGTTTGATTTGTTCCTCTCTGGTTTACCTGGTGGACGTCTCCGTGGGTCGAGTTCTTAGGCGATCCGTACAGGTTCAGCCAACTTGGTCCAAAAGTGGGGTTAAACCCTGCAGACAGACAGATATTTTACTGTAAATTCTCAATGAAAAGCTGACGTTCATATCATGGAGTCTGGCTGGTCTCCATTAAAGGCTTATAACACAAATTCAGCATTACATAGAAAATGTACACACACATAATTTCATACCACTCAGCAAAAAAACACTTTCTATTTTGACACCAACACTATTCTCACTTGCTGATTCCAGTTGATTAAACTTACTTTTGATCAAGTTGAATCTACTTCTAATTAAACTCATGCTTCCTTCAGACGTTCTACATTAAAAACCTACCAAGAAAGGAAGGAGTAACTGTACGCCCCTTGAAACACTGAAAGCCTTTTATAGTAAAGTGTTTAAGCAGGAAATGTTGCGTTCATTGAAAAATAACCTCAGCAAAATAGAAGGAACTAGAAATCTGAACAGTAGACAGCATCAAGAGCAAATAAATACAAGAGCAGATCAATTACAGGAAGTCTATATAAACCTACTTATAAAACAGGGAAATTAGAAATAAAGGCCCGTCTCTGCCTCTGTCAGATGTCTCAGAGTTCCATTAAAGTAAGAATAGTTTGTGTATAAACTGCGGGTCGTACCATTCCTGGTAGGATCAGAAATCTGCTGCAGGTCCAGGAAGTGCGTTGCCAGGGCGATGTCTCCCATCTTGGCGTCATCGAGGACCTGGACTCTGATTCGCTGAGCCAGAGGAGGAAACTGCTCGATGAAGGAGATTTCCTCGTTCCAAACTGGACAGTTGGCGGCGCTGGCAACCGAAGTCTCGCCCTGCAGACACAAACACACAAACACACACTACGATTACAAAATATCTGACTTGGCGACTCCGAGTTGTTGATTAAAAAAAACATTTCGCGTTTTTGACCACAAAGTTCCAAGAACTTTGGAACCAAAGGAACTAAACTAGTAAAAAAAAGTTCCATTTACGCATTTCGGTTTCGGTTTCCACAACATCTAAAGAATTGTGAAGAAGTTGAAAAAGTACCTTTTTTTGTTCATACTTATGTACTTTAATTGAAGTAGAATTCTGGATGTAGAACTTTTACTTATAATTAAGTATTTCTACACTGTGGTATTGCTACTTTTACTTCAGTAATGGATCTGAGTACGTGAAGTCCAGCCCTGCAAGCTCCAATCCCAAAGTTCCCCCCAGATTGTTTAGGTAGTCTATGTGGAAATACAGTGCAGGAACTAAATTTAGTTTCCAAGTTTCTCAAAAGTTTCTTGGTACTGGCTGCTACCTGGGGAGAATAAATATAACAGCACATGTACAGTATATATACATGTCTGAGTACCTGTTGTCCAGCAAAGGTCACGCATACGTAGGGATCAATGAAGATCGTCCGGTCAGTGGTCTTTGACATCTTGGCCATTAGCCCCGCCTCCATGGTGGGCAGACCCTCGGCCCTGTAGATCCGAACACGGAACCGAGCCCACGGACGCTCAGAAGCCATACCACGAGGAAGCAGCAGGTTCCTGCAAGAAAAACACAGCGTCAGAACCCAAAGCCAACCTCACCAGCTGTTTAACCTCAGATACAATATAATGTCATTTGTTAATAAATGCGATGGGGAGGTCAATAGTGGCCCACATCTCATTTTTGTCAAGGCCACAACTATATTTATCTGGCTGTGCCAATTCAACACTGTTATTTGATGTGATAAAAGTAATGATGATTGATGAATGATTTGTATGTGCAGACATGATGTTGACCTCCACCGCTATGCAGATGACACACAACTGTATGTCCCATTAAGGCCTGTCCTGTATTATAATTTTAAATTAAATGTCCTGCAGCTGAATGACTCCAAATCAGAAATAGTCATCATTACCCTCTGTAGCTGCAGCACTAGCAGCATTCATTATCACTCCTCTAGTCTTGGCACCTTTTCTAACAATGTATTTTAGTATTTTAGTATTGTATAGTATTATAATGTATTTTTAATGTACGCCTCTAACAGTAGAGGCCTTAAACTTAGGTGTCATTTTTGATTCTGACTCGTCTTTTGATGTCTGCTTTGCCAAACTAAGACAGCTTACCGAGATCAGATCACTCCTTTCCTCTGATTCCTGTCTGTGATTTGCTTGAGACCCTTTAGCCGGGACCTACTAAGTACTTTATAACATTGTTTTTGAAAGGTGCTAAAGGTGTTAAATAAATAAAGTTATCATTATTATTATTATATGACGATGCATTGAAGATGTATTGTTACTGACTTTTCGATGTCCTCACTGGCTCCAGACAGGGAGGGCGGTGGCAGACTGGGCATGCTCAGAGCGGCTCCCTTCATCAGCACACTGAGGCTGGCCTTGACGTAACCCTTGATCCCTGACCTGGTGTCTGCCGGGTCGGTGAGAGGAGCCCACTTCTGGTAGAAGCGGTGATCTGGAGAAGTCGCAGAGAGGTCAGAGGTCAGTGAGTACTGTGCAGCGTTTGGATCAGTACTGCAGTGTGAGCCGTTCTGGTACCTGGCTGGTTGTACACGGTGGAGATGTCAATCTTAAAGGTTCCAATGTGGGTCATCAGGAAGGCCAGAGTCCGCCTGTGGAACACCTGAGAGGAGGGGACATTTTGCAGGTGGTCACCAGACCACAGCAGTAGAAACAGAAGCAAAAAAACAAAACAACCAAACAGTAGAACTGACCTTTATCTCTATGACTTTATCCAAGAGGATCTGCGGAGCCTCCTGAAACTCAAACTGGAAGTTCTGAAAGAGAAGAGGAGGTAACCCACAAACTGTACTTCAGAAGCTGTAGCTTTCAGTTATCATGAGAGTGAGAGTGAAGATACTGGAAACATGTGAAACTAGATGACCTTACGAATCCACTTGATCACTGTCCGGCTAGCTTGTCAGGAAGTGGGCTGTGCAGTTTTTTTGTATGCAATGCAAATGTGTTATTTTTCTCCTATTCTAAAATGGTGTATTTTAATATTTCTGCATATTGGGTATGACTGGAAAGCTGAGACTCTTATGGATCCAGTTTTAATGTGTGATGATGTAAGTCCACATAGTCACATAGTGAAACCATTTTTTCACATCACTGTAAAAAGCTGACCTGTTGTTACCTATATGATAATCATATGAAAATGTACTACTGAAAACAAGAGACCACGGGTATGTATGGCTTTCCGAGGTTTATTGACGATAAGGTGGTTTCTGAGCACTTTTCGGAACAGAAGCGCTCTCCATACAATCGCTAAAAAACATAGCTTTTGCACCAAATTTTAAAAGTTTTTGATATCAAACAACAGCATTATGGTGTTCCTCAAAGTCTTGGTATTATAATGTGATATTTTGTAGGGATTTTTCAGAATTTTGATTAATTCTCGAGTGGTAAGAAATAGTTAAATTTAGCACCAAATCTGTGTAAGACATGGTATCAACTCAAAAACGTATGCAAATTTATGAGACACAAGTGAGCATTGGAATGGCCATTATAATCTTCCATCATCATGTTCTAAGCCCTTTTACACTTTCACAATTTATCCTAATTAACCAATTGATTAACTCAATATACAACAAAGTGCTAAGCTGCATCTCAAATGAATCTTCAGCTTCAAAGCTTTCAGATGATCTATACCACGCCTATGTGATAGATAATGTTATGTGACAGATACCTCTACCCCTCTATTAAAGTACTCTATATTACACTACCCTGTATTGTACTATGCTCTACTGTACTGTCACCTCTCTGTAGTACCTCGTTGTAGAAGGGGCAGTTGGTGGATTTCTGCGTCGCGGTGTGTTTTTTCTGATCCCCCACTCTGATGAAAACTGCAGGGTTCATGTTCACTCCAACCAGCTTCTGAGCCTCCAGGATGTTCACATTCAACTGCACACAAACACAAACACACACACACACACACACACACCCCAATGATGTGAGAAAAGCTTCATGGTTTCCTCTGAATGGCTGTGAAGTTTGTTTGCTAATCATCTCCCGTTGAAGAGCATCAGATAAGTTAGAACTGAGTGAATCCTCGCCACCCAACCCACATCAGAGGAACAGTGCCTGTGGACTGACAGAAGGGGGTCTATCTCTAGAGGGTATTTCATTTAGGCTGCTGGAAAAGAGAGTCCTGCTGATTGTTGAACTTCAGCTCGAGGAGACACAATGCAGATTCTGTCCCAGTAGTGGAACAGTAATCAAGGATGCTGCAGGGTTCATGAGAGTTTGCACATCCATCTTACATGTTTGGAGAGGGATTATGACTCTCAGGGTGTCTCGCGGGGGATGCTGCAGCTGTACCTCTGTGCTTTCCCTGGTAAACCTGTGTTTAAAGTCACAACGCTGTGAATTTTGGGTAACCTAAGTCTGTGAGTCCGTAAATTTGGAGATTGGGATTGGGCTTTACCGTGTCTATCTGCTGTTTGGTGCTGAGCAGGTATAGTGTACAGTTGGTTTTTACAGATTTTTCTCTTAACCCTTTTTAAGAAATCATTCTAACCCCATCATTCGAAGCATTGTAGATCAACATTTACCCCTGAGCCTCTGGGGTTTTAAGAGGTTAATACCACCGCCTGTTGCAGAAACGTGGTGAGAGTGAACCAACACAGTAAAGTTGTGGGTCAGAGAGCTAAACAATGAGCTGAAACTCACTTTAAAGCTCCAATAAGTCGAGGTGAGCTGCAGATTCATCTGATAATTTTCTGCAGGTTCATCCTCTCACATAAAGATAAATAAAGATTTAGGTTATAGTCACTTTAATTAGAGGGTTTCAGGGCATGCTGGAGGGATTACACGTCACCTCAGGAGCCTTCCAGGAGTAGCTCGAGGATGTGGCCGGAGAACAGGATGTCTGGGCTGCCTTGATTAGCCGGTATGCCACGATAACATGGACCAGCATAGACACCTCAAAAAAAGGAATACAGGAATAAACTCACCTGGAAGCTCTGAACTCTGGGCATCGCTGCAGCAACACTTCTGTACATCGGCCTGTAACGGCTACAAACACACACACACACACACACACACACACACACACACACACACAAACAAACATTGTTGACAGCAGATCATGAGATGACAGAACTCAGGTAAACAGACAGACAAGACAGACAGTAAAGTAACCAGACCTCAGCAGAGGAGTGAAGATGACGTCGGAAGCCTCCAAGTCCATAATGTCATCATCAAAATCATCATTGTCATCATCATCTTCATCCCCGGTCCGGACCAGGCTCCGCCCAAGATGCCGAGTCTCTCTATCCAGCTGACCTGAGCGAGCGACAGTCAGCTGACTGACAGGAGAGAAAGAGAGAGAGAGAGTAGTTAATACTGTGTGTACGTTGTTGTTCTGTCAGAAGTAGAGGGGTAGGAGGAATATTTAGTTCCAGGGGATGAGGATCACGATTGGATGTTCAGTCTAGAGTCCCACTGATAGTTTTTCACGTCTAATATTTTGGCAGATGGTATCAGTATCCAGTAACGCTCAAGCTAAGAGGATGAACGTGTGAGTCGTGTAACTTCTCACCTTTCAGGGTCATTAAATCCATCATTCCTGATGACCAGAGCTGATCTGAGGATCAAGGAAGAGAAAAGAATCATGTGTTCAGTCTGGTCAGATCTGGAGGCCTCACACTAATTTTGTTTGTTTTTTTCTAGTTTCCCCTGCTTCCAATATTTGCGTTAAGTTAAGATAAACACGTCCTGGTGCCGCTTTCACAAAGACAGACTTTGACTACGGTAAATGGTAAACTGTTTTTGTAGAACATCTTTCTAGTTTTCCGACCACTCAAAGCACTTTTACACTACATGTCATTCATATGTTGATGGCAGGGGATACCATGTCCTACCATCAGGACTAATCATTCACACCTATTCATACACTGAAGGCACAGTCCTCGGAGCAATTTGGGGTTAAGTGTTCTTAACCAACATGGACTGGAGGAGCCGGGGATCGAACTGCCGAAATCTTCTGATTGGAAGAAGACTTTAAATGCTGCCAAATTGTAAACAAATACAGGCTAATATATATATTGATAACTCAGCAGCCAGGCTCAGTGTAGTTTCTTTGGACAAATGAGAAGGACTGACAATATTAATAATAGGTTAATATCTCGAAGAACTCGCTCCACTATATCGTTAGCAAAGCACCAACTATGACAATTTCTGAGTTAGCCTGGCAGTAGGCTAACTCAGTCTTTATTTTGTCAAAACTGTCTAACTTCCATTTGACTGATCTAAAGGTCTCTGTGAAACCAGTGGATCTATCTCAGCACTGGACACACAGAAATCTTCTCATACGACTCTGGAGAAGACAGGAAAGAAGACGATTTAAATGAACGTGGGAGTTCGTCTTTAGTGTGCAAATGATAACTAAAAAGTTATGTTTCCCTCATTTAAACAACGACCGGAGAGTTGTTCTACAGATATGTGGAAAAATATGTGTTCCGGTTCAGTTTGGACACGATGTCTTACTCATCATTGTCTTCGACTTTCAGGAAGTCAAGTCCCTCCCAGCTTCCTGCTGCTCCCTCAACTGGATGATATCGAATGTCCAACTCGATATAAATCTGCAGAGAGAGAAGAAGAATCCAGTTAGATGTCAACCGACGACAAGTCTTAAATATGCGTGTGTATTTTTGTGTGTCCTCACATCAGTCAGGGAGTAGTTGGCATCAGTGAGCGGTTCCCGCAGCAACAGCCTCCCAGCTGTAACGACATGCTGGAGGCTGACGACCAGCTTACCAAGCAGTCTACACACACACACACACACACGCACACACACACACACAGTTTATGTTTGACAGACATGAAAACAATGTGTATGTGTGTGTGTGTGTGTGTGTGTGTGTGTGTGTGTGTGTGTGAGTGTGTGTGTGTTACCTGTTGGAGAAGACTTTACTGCAGTTGTAAACACTGATGGACAAAACTTCATCTCTGATCACTTTACCATAGTGAGGCCACCGGAAATGCTGTGCACACACACACACACACACACACACACACACACACAGGTTACTTTCGTTGTAGAATTGCTCTGTGTATGTCTTATGATAGCAAAGGGTCTCTGGTGTCTGATGTGAATGTCCTCATTGATATTTTTCTCCACCTTTGACGTCTCCCATATATTGTCTCATGTGAAGTAAATACACACACATTTCACTTCAGTTTCTTGCTCAAAGACACTTCAGAGCCGGGGATTGAACCACCAACCCTGTGATTGAAGGCCAGCGCATTGAGATACAGCCGCTATATATTAACGTCAATATCAGGCAAACTGCTAACTTTTGTTTACAACAAAGAAACACGAAGAAGGGAGAGACCATTTCTGTCTTGACTGTGGATATTTCCCTTCACAACCATTAATCATCATGTGCTACAGTAGGTTTAGTCACACACACACACACACACACACACACACACACACACACACACACACACACACACTCCTGGTCACACCTGAAGAACAAACACAAGCCTTACTCAGAGGCTGCACAGAGAAAAATAACTCAACCTAGATACTAACTGCTGCGTTCATGTCAGTCTGAGCTGTGGGCAGTGATTATGTCAACAAACAAGTGCCGATGTAGTAAAGTGTGGAAGCTTCGGTTCAACAAATGTGTTCTCCCTTTGTAAAATCACACAGTGTAATGAAATTTATTTTTTAAGAAAGTCTCCCGTTGACTTCTGTTCTGATTGAGAAATGTTGTATTTACATTTGTACAGCTCTAGACACTACAGCACCCATGAGCCTCAGCGGCTGTCGTGTGGTTCACCCCATCGAGTCACGGATGATACACCCATTGAAGTATACTGCGGCTTTATGGACGATTTTATGGTCGGTCGACCACTTTGGTTGAGGCTAAATTATCTCAACAACTATACAATGTATTGCCATAAACTTTGGTTCACACATTCATGTCGCCTTCAGAACGAATTGTAATAAATTCCCAACACTTTTCATCTACTGTAGTCTTGTTTGACAAGACTATAAAGCTGTGTCCGAATCAAATAGCAACCTCCGGTGCCAAAAACTGCCGTTCCTCAAATGGCCACTTAATTCTGGCTCTAAAAGCGAGTCAATCCCCATTGACCCCCATGTTAAAATGCCCACTTTTAAAGCAGAAATTACAGCCTGGTACAAAAAATGGTTTTGGTAGCTAAATTTCCTGTTAATTACAACTGTACGGGAGGTGAATTTTCATACAACTCACCCGTTTAAATGACATCTTATATATCTTATAGTTTGGCATAATTGAGGCTGCTTCGAGTGACAGGTGGGTGCTTAACCAGGTCGTTAGCCGTTAGCTGTCTGATCCGCCTCGGCTCCACCAATAGAGTTCAGCCCAGTTCCACTATCGCCCCTAAGGCCTGAAACCCTGAACCCTCGGGGGCCTTAACTGACGTCACCTGGTAAATAGTTGAGCGTCAGAGGGTACAAGGGCTTGAAATGGTTAAAATATGAATGGGACACCACTTTGCAGCGACATCTTGGCTTACTATGACAATGTCATAACATGTTATGCACAATTGTGGTTTTCATTTTACATTTTTTACTCCCTGATTTGAAGCTCTTCCAGGCTCTTGCCTTACGAGACGAGAGGTAATTGTCAATTAATCTATTTATTCGTTTTTGTCAAAAAAGCTTCAGTCTGAATCAAACTGACATTGCAATCCATAGAGCCACTATAGTTGCTATATATAATTCCTGCTAAAAACTGTTAATTCAAGAGGATGAATTGTTTTGTTGTTGTGGGGCTCAGTAGAGTGCAGTAGAATAAAATAGAATCACATCTGTAGGTGTGTATGTGTTGAAGGAGTGGCTGTGTGTGTGTGT